GTACAAATCTAAAAAATATACCTTCTTAGTAGCTGAGCACGGCGCAACATTATATGTTATGATGGATCATGTGCAGGAATATTTGCGTCGTGGTTTACAATGCCAACGTATTTGTCTAGTTTCTTAATGGTTTGAAGTGAGACGTGCTATCAAGTCTTGCGGCGCTCTTGGAAGTTGGGCGATCAGCTGATCCTTCGGGATAAATTTCAGATGGCAGTTAGTGTTCCATTTTCCAGCATTCAAGCACTTTGCTTAGGTCTCCATTTCATCAATCCTGGATGGATAAGTATTGGGCTGTTCGCACAGACTGACAGCGTGCAGTTGTCTAATCGCGCGTTATATACGTTGATTCAAGAGTTTCATTTGATCTGCACGGAACAAAGACCACGGGTCCGCATTAGAATCATGCTGTGCACATTCAGTCATTAAAAAAAATCCAAACTAGGCGGTCCTGTGCAAGCCGAAAATTCGGTAACGAAAGACAGGTGCGTTGTATACAGTCCGCGAGATAAACTTAGGGAAGATCTGGTCTCGGTGGTTGAAGAAGTAACACGGTCTCCCCGACCTGGGTGACGCAGCGAACCGCGTACACCGAAGGCCGAATAACGAACAATACTTATTTCCATCGGGAAAACGCCAAGTGTCTGACTTAGACCGGCTGAATTCGAGCCGTCTGCTCCCCAGTATCCATAAGTCATTTGTCGCTCCGAAAATGAACCTCGAGCACTACCGAGAACTTTCACCGTGCACCTCAGATAAATCATCGACACCAGTAGCACTGGTGGTTGTCTCAGGACTCCCTCGGAATCTAAAAGACTGTTGCTGTTTCGAAGCAGGTTTAGATTGTTGCTGTTCTTGCTGCTGTTGTACGAGCTGTAATGGGTTGTGCAAGATCTCATTCCAAAGCTGTTCAGTCAACCGAAGTTGAGCCAGTCGGATCCAATGCAGATTTGGCTGGGGATGTTCAAGGCTATCCCTCAAGTGGAGGTATTTTCGTACACAACCCGCGAAGCCAGGTAGCTCTGATACTACTTGCATTGCAATAAGCACTGCAGGTATAAGCCATATTGCTGGTTTGGTCAAACCATTGAAAATCTTGCGCATGTCTTCCGTGGAATATGGCTGAGCTGGTTGTTTTGGATCAAGAGGCTCAATTGATGTGCCTGACCGGCAACCGTCATCGATGGTAAGTGTGGTTTTTATTCGTGATTATCTCATTTTGGTGTTCGGTTGAACCGAGGCTCCGGAAGACATCATCATGGATTCTTCCACCTATTGCACTGATGTTTGGAGTCCGAAGCAATATTAATTCCTTCAAATTTAGGTTGTCCTAGAGAAGCAGCACCGGCGAAAGCCGCATTTCCGTGGACAACAGGAATCATTAGTCAAGCGGCACCTATGTATTTTGATGGAACTAACATTGTGGGCATTATTGTAGGTGATTCTGTTGCACTGACCTTCCCGTTAGTACTCGAATGAACCAATAAATGGTTCACACCAGGCTGATCGCACAGATGATTACTCTGACAGATCACTTTATGCTTCAGGATGGGCTTGTGACTTTGCGCAGTTCAACCCATGCCCTTTGATATTTGTTGCTGTGACTGGTCCGCCGATCCAGTGTTTGTCTTTTCTCGCTTGGCCGAATGAACGACGGTACGATGAGGTAATTCCGAACATTGGTTCACTTCTCCGATGGGTGCTCCTTTAGTATTACTTTGTTCTAAATTTTCGTTCATCGCTTTTGTATATTTTCTCCCTTCCTGAAAGTTGAGGCAGTAGACTGTTATTATGTCTTCCGGGTAAAACCTAATAATTGGGGTGACCGTCCTCTCCAGTCAGCTCCACGGTATCTAAACTGGGTTCCCTGTCAGAACCACCTCTCTGTCTCCCCTATCTACTCAGAAAGCCCCATTGATAACACTCCGGATACTCGCAACCATTCATTGCTAATTAGTGTCTCAAATAATCCTGTCTTATAACCCACATTTTCTCAAGCTTCGTCAGCCTCTGAATCTCGGTTCCTATAAAATTCTTTCACTCATACAGGCCGGTCAGCAAGCGTGCCCAGCCCTCACAATGGACTCTCTGGCGGTTGATGTCATCTGTGTAAGTTAAACGCGTATCAAGGATTCGAGCAGCTTGAATAAATTAACTGTTACTTGTATCTCATCAGGATATTTCCGATGCACTTCAGGAGAAGAAGCAGTAAGAGCGGATGGGCAAATTGAAGTAAGATAACAGTACCTCTTTAAACTGGAACCTAGTTATAGTCGGTTATGTATCTTGGGACTCCAGGGGTTAGTTGGTGTTAGAAAAGATGGTTGTATTAAACGCAATTTGTTTGTGACCTCGGTATTCGCTCCAACATACTGCAGCTCTGACACGTAGAGCAATTAATTCTGTACTGAACCCACCACTACATTTTGCGGAGGCAAAGACTGTGGCATTGTAGTACTAGCTGATGATTCCATTGCACAAGTTGGCAAAATTTAGCAAATCAGAAACTCGTTTAGGTGGGGGCTATGCCTTACCCCCTCAACGCACAGATAGGCTTCTCCAGTTTCTGTGCAGACAATCGGTTATTCCTGTCTAGTACGAATTTCTGACTCATCTCGCGTCGCACAGAGATGCATCGCCCTCACTATACGGGTACTCTGAGCAAGATCGATCATATCGCAGTAAGCTACCGATGTTGCAGTTCTGTTCAGAACTGTAGATCTCGCTGGTTCACGTACTTGAATTCGGACCATGAATTAGTGGCAATACGATGATCTTCTCAGCTCCATGACAACTGAAGCAAACCACAAACCCGATTAACCGTACCGAGCTTGTCTGATCAAGAAACTCGCGACAGTGATGATCAAAAGCAGTCACATAAGCTAGGAACTATGATGGATAGTAGTGTGAGAGGGCTCAGGGCCCACATAAAATAGGCAACGCACTCGGCAGCGGGTTTCGCCTGTGGTCTTAGACTGGATGTCCATTAAAGACAATGGATTTTTCAGGTGTCACTCAGTCTGATAGAGCATAAACGTTAGCTCTCGAATTGTTATTAGATGAATAAGATACGAAGACATCCACGATGGCAAGTTACAAAAAGCCTAAGGAAGAATCGCGAAGATCGGTGAGTCAATGTAACCGGAGAAATGGAAGTAGCAGGTGCTTCAGGTAACAATCATAAACTGCTAAAACATATTCGCGACATCCGTGGTCGGATAATTCCAGTCAGTGAACCATATGCGATAAAGAATGAACAGCCTCTTCATGGCAAACAGCAAAGGCTCGTACGTTAAATTGAATAATTCAAGGAGCAGTTTAGCTGGCCGCTCACCAATGTAATTACTCTGATATCAACAACTGCGATTCGGCTGTCAGCAATACTTGGGCCCCCATCAGAAGCTGAAATAGAATCGAGCATCCAATTACTAAAACTTGCAAAAGCGAACTGTCCCCACGACCTTCCCTCAGTTCTCTTCAAAGTGAGACGTGGTGCTCTAACAAAAACATTTATCACTCCGCTCCTTGAATTCCGGTATAATGAAATGATTTATTGATTAGGCGCATCCTCAGTAAGGTAAAACGCAGTGATTAATTTTGTCATCGTGTCATCACTTTGATTCTGACAGTCACGAAGGTATTAACCCAATTTTGCTGCGCCATCTGACATCAGCTCGCAAGAAAAAGCCCCGAACATCAGGCCGAATTCCACTCAGGTCGAGGATACATCGACCAGATTTTCACTCTTCGTCAATTACTTGAAATGCGTCAAACACATCGTACACCGACGATAATGGTATTTCTTCACCCTGAAGGAGCCTTCGATTCAGTTGATCAAATAGTACTGTTCGGTGCTGTTCACCGACAATGTGGCTCACAATATTGCGTAAACCAATTGAGACTATTGCATTGTTATACCTCAAACCACATAAAGTTTTACGATGAGCTGTCCAGTCGGTTCGAAATGACCAGTGAATTTTGCCAGGGGTGTTTCACTTCACCTTTTCTGTTCAGCTCCGACATAGACGTGACTCCTTGCAAAATCTCAAAAATGTGGGCTTCGAACTAGCAACAGTGAAAAGCTATGCTATCTACGATACGCTGAATACCTGCTCTGCTTTTTTAAACAAACAGCATATGCTCAACGTGGACTAGATGGACTCTCAAGAGCTCTAGTCCAATTCGGCATGCTTTTTGCGCCTTCGAAGCTTAAAGTGATGTTGCAAGACTAGAAGTCAGCACTTCTAAAGATGATGCTGGATGGGAAGGTGCTATTAACTGTCGTCCGCCTAAATTACCTCGGCAGCAGCGTGACAACGAATGGGAGCACGGTAATAGGGGTGGGTGCGCATATGTCCCATTGTCGAATGGCGTATGTTGGACTGAAGTGCTTGTGGCTCACACCTGATATTACGTTGGAGTTGAAAATTCGTGTTTAGTATGCTTCACTGTGCTCATTTCTGTTTATAGTTTCCAGACATGGAGTCTGCGTGCGAAATATGTTCGTTGTTTTGAGGTTTTCTACTATCGATATTTGCGTAGCATTGCTAAGATTAGATGGAATGACCGCGTAAGCAATACTTAGATGAAATATCAAGTATTGGGTACCAGTTTAGAGGATTTCTCATCGTAGTGTATCCGTTGAGTAAACTTTATTGTTTTGGGGCACGTGTTGTATATGGCAAACACACGTCTACTTTACCCTGTTCTATTTTTCGTTCCTTCTCATGAATAGAAGAAGCCACCTGGAGGTCAACGGATAACGTGACAGCTGGGAGTGAGAAAAACAATATTGAACTTATTTGAAGTTGATGCCTCACATCTTCGTGTTTGGGGTTTGATAGATCCTTCAGCCAGTTTCCTGAAGACATCAAGCCGTTAACAAAGCCGATGTTTTGTTATTTCTCGCCAAATCACAATGATTGATCAATGTGCGCTTGTACAGTCAGACTCCGAACTTCATGTGTTGAATATAACAGCCATCTTTTATTGTCTCACAG